GTTACTTTAATAATACTTTAGTATGACGAGATGATCTACAAAAATCAGCCAATCACAATAAAAGTTCGCTATGCTTACTATAATAGATATTTTGGCGTTTCCATTAGATTAATACTAATAATATAACTCTCAGCGTTTCCATTAGATGAATACTAATAATATAACTCTCAGCGTTTCCATTAGATGAATACTAATAATATAACTCTCCTATTTTAATACAAAATTTTACAATTTTTTGGAATCATAAAACCTCTCTCAACAGAATAATGTATAGTTATTGGATGCGAAGCAGCCAATAACGGAAATTATTTGGAAAATAATTTATTATCTGGCTGTTAAGTTTAATATGTCAGCTTCTGGGCCCCGAAGGGGCCCTGAAATGACGCATATTAAATTCACTGTCAGATAACATTCAATAACGATATTATCCGGTATCTTACTATGATTTATCTGCCCAATAATTTTATTATTGGGCAGAAACGAAAGTTTAAAATAGTTTAAAATAGTTTAGTGATGTAATCAATAAATTAATATAAAAAAGCGAAAAAGAATAAAAAAAAGTGTTTTTGGTCTAAAATTGGTATAGTCATGCGTGTAACTTACCTAGAAGAGTGTTATTTCCAGTGCCTAACGAGTTAATAGATCATAGCAAATGTTTGGGGTATTGAATAACCCCAACCACTGATAATACCGTTACTTTTATCCAATAATTTAAGATTACTATAAATAGTTTGTGTAAATAAACAAATCAGTTAAGGCAACTTTAGGAGTTCTATTTTTTCGCACCTATAAAGCGCCATTTCCGGTTAATAGCAATAGCAACTTTAGGAATTCTATTTTTTTTAGTACCCATAAAAGCGCCATTTTTGCCAAAAAAATTTCTTTCATATTTTCTTTCATATTTTTTCACCAAAATGAAAATATACAATTTAAGAAATTTGGACAATGAGCAACTAATCAAAAAGGCGGAAGACTATGAAGAACGTATACGTGAACTTGAAGAACAACTCTGTTTACACGAATGTGATAATCAAGAGCCAATTGAAGAACATGAAGAGGATGAAGAACAGGAAGAGGTATTTTATTTTTTATTTACAGTGCTATAATTATAAGATGAAGAAAGTAATAGCAAAATATTTTAACAGAAAAAAGTCGTAGAATCAATTAAAAGTTTGTGGAATATTACAACTAAAAGAAAGCTTCTAGTAAGTTTATTTTTTGAAAAAATTATTACGAAATTTATATTAATTAAAAATTATAACAAATATAAAGATCGAAGATCTTGGAAAATCTGGTTTCAAACTAATCAAAAAAGCAAAAAGGAATAAAAAAATTATTGATGGTAATATGTGGAAAGAAGGGTTAAAAAAACAAGATCTAAATGCCTGCGACTCGATTTGCGACTCGATTAAAACCAAAAACTATAAAGTCGTCCAAGTTGAATGGAATGATCTAAAAAATGATTATTTAGCTGCGCAGGATAAACAACAATTCATCGAAGATTTTCAAGGAACTTGGTTTAAACAAAGAGATTCTACGGTTGCAAAAAAACAAAAATGTTCTGTTGATGAAGTAATTCATAAAAGAACTAAGTTTTTGCTCTTAGGATACTACCTTATTTCAACCGATGACAAAAATAGTTTGCGCCTTAAATATTATCATGTTTGTTATAAACGATTCAATGAACTTCATGAAACCATTGGAGATAAAATTTTATTACTTCCTATGCCAACAGCTTTTTTCACCGCTCATCGTATGTCATAATTTTAATTTAACTGATTGATCTATCTCTAATTGCTAACTTATAGATTAATATTATTTACTCTAAAAGACAAAGCAAGTAGGGTCAAATCACTTATCTTATGGTTTAAAGGTAAAGAAAATGAAAAAGAAGAAGAAGAAGAAGAAGAAGAAGAAGAAGAAGAAGAAGATGATGATGATGATGATGATGAAGGAAATGATGATAATAGTGGTAAATAAAAGGAAAGATACACAGATTAT